ATTCATCGTTCATTCATACTACCTGTGTAGATACCCCTATAGGTTGCTATTTAGTTCCATCTGTGTATCAATCAATGGATAGTCTGTAAAGACTTTATTGGGGATCACGCTGGGAGCCTGTCCTTAGGCTACACTGAGTTCCATCAATATATACTGTATATACACATACATATACATTATCTCCTAATTTCTGCCAATTGCTGACCCAATGTATGCTGTGCTATGGTTGTAGTCAGTTCCATGTCCTATGGCACAAGCTAGCCATTGTGCCCAATGCAGTCCCATCCAACAGCAGGCACGCCAACATTGACACCATGCAAGTGCTGCAAGCTAGCCTACTGGGCAGGAAGTGAGTCCCAACCCTTGGTTCAGGCGTACACTGGTGTATCTAGGAACACCGCACACTGGGATGCCACCAAGTTTCCTTCTTCACCAAATAACGGCCTGCAGGATACAAATATTGATGCATTTCACAATAAGATGCACCCCCTTCTCAAGCAACTCTGAAAGAAAGTGCGGTGTCTTAGCATGAAATGTGTTGAATTTGGATTCTCCTCGCTGTGATTTAATACAGAAAAAGTTGGTGTCATCGCCTCTTCCTTACAACACTTGGGCTGGGTTTCTGTGTAAGCAAAATGCGTCAGTGCATGGAGTTTCCAAAAATACTCGCTGAAAGGGGTGGTGTTCACAGGGGATATTGAGGGGGATGTGGATTTTTTGGGCTTTGCTCTGGGATCCCATAGGGTTCTGAGCCTGCGTCTGTAATGGGCAGTTGGGGGTCTTTAAAAGTGTTGTCCGTATCTTTATAAAATTATCCTAAGGGTTTCTCTGTGATGTGATCTCTCTTTTTCTTTGTATATCTTCTTGTTTCAAGAGTTTATTGGTTTCAAATTTTGTTCATGTGTGCTGTAGATTTAAATGATTGCTGTTCCGCCCTATGAGCGGAGATTTGTAGTTGTAGTTTATAGTATTGAGTTACTTGCTGTGATTTAGGCTTGTTTAGGCTGAAACACAAAATATACTGTTTCTTTGTTTGCAAGATGTATTGTTAATAAAGCTACACAAATAATTACTTCCTATGATTAAGGCTTGTATAGGCTGACACATGTAAGCATCTGTTTCTTTGTGTGCAAGATGTATTGTTAATAAAGCTGGAGAAGGGGGAAAAAAAAGATGCAACAGATCAGGCAGCCCTGCAGCTTGCAATGTAAGCTTGAAAGTGTGCAAACTGTTGAAATTTACCCTGACTGAGTTCTTTTAACCTTTTGGCAGAGTTCATGGGCCATGACCCGTTCAGGGCAGAGATACAACATCGGATACCCTAGCCTGCCAACGCATTTTGGGACAACTGCCGGTTGATGGTCTCCACCATACAAGAGGCAAAGTAGGTTTGTTCTTTTATCTGCATTGTTGTGATGTACTTTGGCCGGGGGGGGG